TTGAATGATCGAATGCATTCATAAGACTATCACTGTGAAATAAAATTGTATGACCTTGATCTTCTTCACCGACCATATCATATCCACGAATAAGATCTGGATATGAACGTTGAAGATTAATTAAATTATTAATATGATTTTTTATTTGTTCTTTTGATAATAGTCTTACACTACTAATAAAAAATATAAAATCAATGAATTTAGGATTTTTTGATATATAATCTTTTCTAAATTTCAATAATAAATCTAATTCTTCCGTTGCATTCATTGTTATTCTTAAACCATTTTCATCAAAATAAAATAAATTTCCAAAAAATCCTGTTCGAGATTCTAATAATTGAATATTTTCTTCAAGTGCATGATCTAAAACTAATTTCATATAATTAAATCTTGTAACATTATATCTTAATAAATCCCTATAAAAATTAAAAACTCCATGTTGATCAGCTAAATTCCATCGAGCTTCTGCATCAGTAGAATATATTGGTGTTTTAAGATCGTTTAAAATTCCAATTAAAGTTGTTTTCTTAATAATATTTGAAATAGTCCAATTAGAATCTTTTACTTTTGTCCAACCAGAAGGAACATTGTTTTTATAATAATTTAAATAATATTTATTTTTTATACAATCATTTTGATCACAAATATATAATAAATCATATTCCGGAGAATTTTTTATAGATTCAAGCAATACTTTTCGATCAAGAATTTGAGTTTCATGTAAATGTAAATTTCCTCCTTTAGGTAATAATTTTAAAAATTGATAAAATGAACTTTTTGTTATATTTTCAAGTTCTGTTTCAATTGGACGTGATGGATAAAAATACTTTTTAGTATTAACGTACTCTTTACCTTGTAATAATTGTAAATATAAATTAACGACTTTTTCTTTTGAATTTAATTTATTCTGAGCTTGTATAGATCTATCATGTTGTTTGATTGTTTCTCGTGCAAGCATATAAGCATATTGATTGAATGGTAACGGTAATAGAATTATATTTGAAAAGAATGACGAGAATAAAATAGATATTATGAATAATAAATTCATTTGATTTTAATAATAATCTAAATGACAATGCATATTCATTATTATTTAAACTTATTGTTATTTTATCTTTTTTCAATGAAAAACAAACTCGATATATCAAATGATTGTTAATCCATTTGTTATTACTTCTTAGATAAATGTCTCTTCTAATGCATTTAAAAGATTTAAAAAATACATGTGTTACTGTCCTTGATTTAATCATAGTCTATCAGCAAATAAATAAACCATGTCATAAAAATCGCGTCACTTTTGACGATTAAGCGCGATTAATGGGCGTTTTTCCAACAAACTTCAAGAGTAAGTATTATGATATAAAAATGTTGGCTTCCGATTACGAGTTTTTGAAGAAGTTGGCATTTGCACTGGATTAAACTTTTTTAAAATATAGGAAAGGGCATAAAAAATAAGAAAAATTTAGGATATTGAAAATTCGTCGTTTAGATTCAAATTACATGTCTTGTTAAATTTTTTCTCAAGCAATTTAACATGAGCACTACATTTTTGTCAAGATTTCATCTTACTTTTTTCTGCAAATAAATGAAATGATTCGGACACAACTAAATTCAATCGAAATATGTTTATTTGCAAATTAACACATTAATACAAAATAGATGAGGGTGTGGATGTAGGTGTAGTTAATGGTTCGTCTTGCCTTTACACTCACATCCTCCCACACCCACACCCTCACCGCTTTATTAGCGGCCCTGTAGAAAAATGGTCTTTTAATGTCATAGCGCCACGCAACCGAAAGCCCTCCCTTTAAGCTCCAGATTTTATCCAAAAATGGTCATTGTATGGCATAAACATAGCACGACAAGCTGCATCGAATGGCGTTTGAACGAACTTTCTAGCTCTCACAGTTTTCGAGATAATAAAAAACAAAATTTGTGAAAAACATTACAGCGTTACGTTTTGACAAGCCAATATACCTACGTGCATGTAACAAACAGTAATAAAAGCTTTTAAAAGACATACAAACATTGATAAAGACGACCTTACTTTGTTTGAATATCTTTTATTTGAAATAGTCATTTATTTTCGTTTAGTCCGTTCGATAATGCGAAACAGAACTGTATTCAAAATACATGTTCCTGTAAAACATTCGAAGAATCTAAAAGAATCACTAGATATCTAATCAATTTGTTAAAAAACGAAGATTTTATTAAAATGCTTAGGTCTAACCAAAATTTCTGTCATCGTTAAATAAAACTACGAAGATAAGGGAATATTTCCGATTTTATTTCATCATATAATGAGAATAGTTGTTATGATTATTTATAGCAAGTTCAATCCTTTCTAATGATTTCTTGGAAGTTTTTCGAGTTCTTTTTCAAAAACGTTTTTAGCTACTTTGGATACCGTATGAGCTAGTTATGTTTAGCTTGTTTAAAAATTTAGCGGAATTTCGTTGAATTATGTAAGTTGCATTATAGTGCTGCTATTGATGAGACATAGATTTATTTTAGATAGGCTAATCGTAACTCATGTGATGCTAGCTAGCTTATTTAAGATGAATCGTCATGGACTATTGCTCATGAAGAGAGATTTGAATTAAAATTTTGTTTCGCATATTCTAGAAATCAAATAATCCTGGTGTAGATAAAGGCATGATTGTAGGTCATAAGTATTATATTGAAAATTGTCTTGAGCCCTTTGTTAATACACATGAAATAAAGAGAGGCATCAGACTCAAAATGTACAAAATTGTTTAGTGACCATCGCTGACTTCATACTCATCCGATATTAACATTTATTCAACAGAAAAAAGCATCGATTTAATATCACATGGGCCATATTGGCCATATCTAATACTATATAATCTTTGGTTAAAGCTCATACGGTATCCAAGGTAGCTAAAATGTTTTTTGAAAAGGAGCTCAAAAAAACTTTCAAGAAATTATTAGAAAGGATTGAACTTGCTATAAATAATTATAACAACTATTCTCATCATTTAATGAAATAAAATCGGAAATATTCCCTTATCTTCGTATTTTTATTTAACAATGACAGAACTTTTGGTTAGACCTAAGCAAAAGCTTTCTTTAGCAATATTTTACTTTTTTATCATTTTTTATAGGTAAACCAGAAAAATTGATCGAAATATAGGAGAAAAAACAGGATTTTTTTTAACTACAGGAATTATAGGATATATAGGTCGAATCTAACCTCAGATTATAAAATAAATACTATTTCCTTCTATTTGTATCATCTGATCATCTCAGCGAACAATAAGTATTATTTTATTTAGACCATCAGATCATCAAAGTAGACAGTCATATGACTCGAGACAGACAAAAATTGGCGGTAGATCGCATTGTATCGATCGGAATAATGGGATGCCTGCTCTTCGCCAATGTTGGCGAAAGTTGAATGGATGCTCGCTAATTAGTGGAGAATAAGATGAAGGCGACATATGTGCGAGGACTATTCTTAGTATTATCAAAATATATCTTGCTATATACACTTATGAATGCATTTGATACCAATCTTTCTAATCAGTGTCAGAGTTGAATGCAAACTGACAAAATTTCGATGGACTTCCATCAATATTGGCGAAGGGCGGTATAGTTCTGACAGGGGCCCCTATTTTTCGTTTTCATTGCTGCTATTCACTCAGTATTATTCATTTTTCATAATTTTTCTTTCTTAAGTTACAACTTTTATTATTATAAGCGTTGAATTAGATGGCAAATGAGACTGTTATATATATATATATAATTTAATCCTGGTTGCTAAGTGTCCTTAAAAAGGAGGGAGGATTGAGGGAAAGAGTGGGGGGAAGAACTGAGAAATGTAAACTTAAAACTTACACTTACTATTTTGTTCGGAGATATACGTGAGTTTCACAAAAGTCTTTTTAGCGCTAGTTACTGTGGATGGGGAGAAATAAATCATCCTCTCCTCATTCACCAGACATGCGTACAAGCACGATGGTATACACATCGAGACGTATACATACTCACAGATCCAAATACAGCGACCATGTCAAATTACCGAAAATATTACAGGATGACCTATAAATAGCACTAAGATAAAATAATTTAATATCTCCGCATCCATCGAATTAAATGGTTGAATTTTTTTAGGGGACGTGTGTCATTCAAACTTTTCTTTTTATACAGATAAAGTTAGCAAATATTATTGTTAAGTATTATTTTTCGTGTCATGAAAGAAATTTGAGCTATTACTAAGCAAAAAAAATGCACGTGTCGCTTTTCATGGATCATTTTCAGTTGTTGAACAGAAGAATAATAAGAACAAGCCAAAACGAACTTTATCAATGAATCTATATTGAAGTACGCAGAGCAACTTTCCAAAACTAGCCAGTTCAAATCCTAAAATGTATGCCCCATAAATAAAATACGCAATTGCAGCATTTAGGGTACTATAACATAAACTTTCTTGCAAAAGTCAATGTTTCATGTTTGAAAATTCAAAGCTTTGTATTAGTTGGCTTCTAAACTAGCTAGTTTTATAAAATTGCTTTATCTGCCTTAATACGATTTCATTGATAAAGTTCGTTTTCACTTGTTCTTATTATTCTTCTGTTCAACAACTGAAAATTATCTACGAAACACTGCACGTGTATTTTTTTTGCTTGGTAATAGATCAAATTTCGGTCATGATAATAGGTCAAATATCTTTCATCATACGAAAAGTAATACTTAATCGTATTTGCTAACTTTAATACTTGGCATTACTTAAAATATTCTTCTTTTCTTTTCTTTATTTTTTATAACGGGTGACCCAGATTAAATGGACCTCTCAGTATTTTGCATATTTTTCATCTATAATTCGGCATAGAAAAAAAAAATTTTTTTATAGAAAGATTCCTCGTCAAATTCTCTACAAAACGTATATATTTTTATTATCTTAAATAGTCTTCATTATTTTGCGACATGCGATACAATCGATTGGTCCAAGATTTACAACCTTCAAACACAACATTTTGTCGAATTTTTTTTACTGCACGTTTTAATTCTTGGATCATCGTCGCTTTGGATGTCGCTCTATTCCAATTAATGAACTTTATAATTTCATCCCATATACAGTAATTCAATGGATTGAGATCTGGACTATTAGGTGGCCAATGATCTTTATCGATAAATCTTGGAAAATTGTCATGACACCATTGTTGTGTTGACTGATGAGCATGAGGTCTAGCACCGTCTTGTTGGAATGTCCAGTCATATTCGAAGACATGATTTCCATACTTAAGCGCCACAGGGAGCACCTCTTTAATGTATCGATCATGGTCGACTGTACCTTGTTTCCTTGCAAAAAGAAATCACGGCTATTAGCGACATCTTTTTAAGAAGTATGATGTAATATAATAGATGAGAAAAGAAGAAAAATCAATATATCGAAAAGATGAAATGTCTCGTTTTTGTATATTTTTTAGTTTGTTCTATTTTAATTTATTTGGTTATTTCTTTATAATAATTTAGTCGATTTGTTCAATGTAGTAGCGCTCGACTTGATTTGGGTTTGTTTTATTTCGAATTTATAGTGGTATGTATATTTCAATTTTTTTAAACATTTATAGGCGATTCTTAGTGTACAAGTACTGTTCCAATTAATTCATGCTTCGAAATTGTTATCTGTTTTATTTATTTGATTAAGCTTTATTTTAATTATATATTATATTAAATTAAACTAATGAATTATTGTGGTGCGGTTATGGGGGTTCAAGAAAAAACTTCTATTCAAATAAACTTAGATAATGTGTACTTTTCTTGAAATATTGAAGTTGATGTTTCCATAGATTTTCGTATATTTGCCATTCTACTAGCGAGTGTTGAGCTCGTTCAGCTAGTCTTTCAGGAAAAAAACCACTTTTCCTAAATTCCATCAACTTGTACCAGGATTTATCAGTGGATATGATTATTTCGTATTCTCGCCAAGATTATTGGACGGTAATAGCCTCTGGTGCTTATTTTTAGGTGGTAATTAAGACGGTATCGATATGAGTTGATATAGTTAAATAGACTTTTTTCTCTAGATAGAATTAATGTTGAAATATCGTCTCATTTATTCAGCGAGTATACTATTCGTATGCCGATACAGTAAACGTGTTCGATTGATTTCTTTTGATTGTCTGTATAGTACAACCAAGTACAAAAAAGCCAGCAGAAATGTGGAAGTGCGTATGCTAAAAAAACTTTTCTTCGTAATGAAATCATTGAGGGTGGAATTGTATTGAAAATGATGCGTAACGCTTTATATATCTTTCCTATTTTTCCTATGGGTTCATTTATGAATAAATCTCAGCCGAGCTTCGTTGAAATGTAGATCCCTAAGTATTTGAAAGATTTAACGTATTCTATGTTTTGGTTATTATATTTGATAGAATGATATCGAGGGGATACGACACTATGTACTAGTAGAGCTTTTGTTTTATTCACGTTTATAGGAAGTAGAGTATCATGCGGGAATTTTTCTAACTGATCCATGACCAGTTTTGCGGGCTCATCTATTCCTTCGATGTTCAGTGAGAAGCGTTTTTCAAGTGAACCAAGTATGACTATTGCTAAGTCCTCAACAAACAAGTGCGTATCAAATCCAGCAAGAAATAAAGGAAGGAAGTGGACATGTACTCTGAATAACGTTGCTGCAAGAACAGAACCTTGTGGAGCACCAACGTTCATTTTAATTATTCGTGAATTTGCTTCATGAAATGAGATAAATAGGTATCTATTTTGTAGCCATGAATGAATCCATTTTAGTGGAGCGAGGTACATTTCAAGATCCTGTTGATTTTTTAATAGGGTCGGGTACCACATACGATCAAACGCAGATAGAAAATCGACAAATATTGTTTGTGCAGGTCAAATGCCTGCTGTTATTGTAAGCCTTAGATTTTCAATTACTGACAGAATTATCGTTTGTAGACGTCTGTCTTTGGTAAAGCCACTTTGCTCATCCACTGCTATATTGTGGTCATGGTACCATTGGAGTAGGGTGTGGATGTGGGTGTGAGTGTACGATGTGAATATGAGTATCGGTGTTTACGTCAGATACACCGCACTCACACACCGACACCCCACCCCATCCACACCCACACCCACCCACACCCCACCATCCACACCCCACCCACAATAGTGGTAGACAATAATCATTCTCATTCTTGTTTAATATAGGCAGTCACAAGATGTGCACAGCTGAACCATAGCCATTATTATTTATATTCAATGAGAAAAGAGACTCATTATCACAGTCAAAATACAGCTGAACGGAAAACATACGGAAACTAATAAAATTATATGTAGAAAATAATGTATTGACAAAAAGCTGTATCCGATAAAAAATATTGTATTAGCACTGAATATTAGTTTTAATTATGAGCATATCAATTTTTTTCACAAATTTCGAAGTACCTTATAGTACCGTGGATGTGCACGTTCTTTAAAGAGAAAAGAATATACTGTTTCAGGTTTTGAAAGCTAGATTTGACCCCATTTTGATCTTAAGTCCTTCACTCTTGTTTGAATTCTTTGGTCTATAAATCATGTATATAATGTTATGAATGGATATGGAACATTTCCCACAAGTTTTTTCATGATAGCATTGAACACTTGTTCATTGAATATTTTTCATTGAAAACAGGAGTAATGATGTAAGAGTCGTTGATACTTTGCTAGAGTATCTCTGGCTTTTTATTTGTTTTTTATTATTTTCTTCATTGTGTATAGACCTTTCATAATCAATGAAAAGTCTTTTCGTATGGCTTAGCACTACTCCATTTGTATAAATTAATTAAAAACGATTGAACTCGAATTATTCATAAGATTTTTTGAATTTTAATATATTTTATGAAAATTTTTGTCAACGAATCTCAATGGTAGCAAGAGCCTTTTCGAGTCGAAAATCTTTTGGAGCCAGACAAAGCATAGATGTCATAATACCATTACACTGGGTATCAAGAGCTAAATGTCAGGATATCCGACAAAGTAATCAACTAAAAGTGAATTCACTTACACGATGAAACTTATGCCAAAGGGTAATGACATCCTTACTCCATAAATGACCTATATGTTTTCAAATTCCTCAACTTTAAAATATACAGTTACCTTGAGGGTAACGAGGTTGTTACCCCATAGTTCAACTTTAAAATATAGTTACCTTAAGGATAGAGAGACTGTTACCCTATAACTCAACTATATATTTCAACGTTGAGGAATTTGAGTGAATTTGGTGTATTACCCCAAGGGTGTGGGTGTGGGTGTGAGTGTATGTGTATGGGTGTTAGTCTTACCCTCATTCTACCCGCAGCCATACCCGCACCTGCCCTCAAGTTATTACCCTTAGGGTAATACACCAAATTCACTCAAATTCCTCAACTTTATAATATATAGTTACATTTTGGAGGTCGTTACCCTTGGGGTAATACACCAAATTGACCCATATTCGCCTAGTTTCGGCGTCTAGTTATAGCTTAAGTTACCGAGTTGGATACGGTTGAGGTTATCGTATCTTATATGAAAATGGATACTCGCCCATTTAATACCCGGAGACTACATTAAAAGAAAATGCGGATACCGGGTGTAACGGGATTATGACATCACTCGAACCAGATGGTTTTAAATAACTCAAAAGAAAACGACTATTAAAATGGGAATAGACAATATTTAGCGATACTATGGCCAACACCACTGAAAATGAAGTTATAGAGACTCGAACTAAAAACTATTTAATATCACATATCTCGTGTTAGGTTTCTACTCTTTAGTAAGAATGCAGTATGAAAAATGAAAGATGCATACATCTATATCATCCCTTGAGTTACTTAGTTATCGTTACTTATGATGAAAATGTGCTGATATTGATGTCCTCAATTCTTCACTTATCTTATCTTCTACCTTGTCCGAACACATAAATAGGCACATGCTTTCAACACGAAGATAGAATTTAAAAGATAACACTACAGGGATGAATTATCTCTCTTTTTACGTTAATGGTAAAGAAATTATTGAACGTAATGTTGAACCTGAATGGACTCTTCTTTGGTATCTAAGAAATAGTAAATGACAAATATTTAACATTTGTAAATAATGTATATTTTTGTTTGTTTGTTGTTTATAGAATTACGATTAACTGGTTCGAAATTGGGTTGTGGAGAAGGTGGTTGTGGAGCATGTACAGTTCTCATTTCAAGATATATTGGTGGAGAATCTGATGAAATTGAACATTGTACAATAAATGCCTGTTTGGCACCATTGTGCTCTGTTGATGGATGTCATGTTATCACTGTTGAAGGGTTAGGTTCAGTAAATAAATCAAATCTTCATTCAACTCAAATACGTCTTGCTGAATTATCTGGTTCACAATGTGGATTTTGTACACCAGGAATGATCATGTCTCTTTATGGTACTCTTACATCAAAAAATAATTTCTTACCAACAATGCAAGATATTGAAGAATCTTTTGATGGAAATCTTTGTCGATGTACTGGATATCGTTCGATTCTTGATACTGCAAAAACATTTGCAAGTGATATAGATAAAATTCATTATGAAAAATCGTCATCATCAGTAACATCAACTACAATGGATAAATGTTTATCATATATGGAAAAAAATTCCTTACCATTTAATCAAGTAGAATTTCCTTCAGAACTTCGAAATTATATTCCTCAATCAATACATATCAAAGGTATTTTCTCTTTTACATATAAAATTAGTTATCTATATTTATAAATAAATAGGTTCTTCGACTAATTGGTATCGTCCAATATCACTTAAGGAATTACTTCATCTTCGTCATACTTATCGAGGTGATCAATCAAAACTTATTTTTGGTAATACAACAGTACAAATGGAAAGAAAATTTCAAAAAATTAATTATCCTCGTCTAATTGCAATAACACATATAAAAGAATTACAAGAAATAAAACGAACTAATGATTCAATATATCTTGGAGCTGGTGTAACATTTACACGTTTAAAATCGAAATTAATTGAATGGAAGGATAATAATGATAGTTTCTGTCAAGCTTTACTTGATCAATTGAAACATTTTGCATCAACACAAATACGAAATGTTGCTTCACTTGGTGGAAATATAATTGCTGCTTCTCCTATGTAAATCATATTCAAGAAAATATTTTAAAATATTCCTTTTTGTTTTGTTTTTATCTAGTTCTGACATCAATCCAATATTAGTAGCTGCAGATGCTACACTTGAATTACATCGTGCTGATAGTACCGAAGTACGATACATTCCATTATGTGATTTTTTTCTTGGTGATCATCGTGTATCAATGGCTGATAATGAAGTTCTTGTTGCTATTCATATTCCTCTTGTAAAGTCATCAAATAAATATTTTCTTCGATCATATAAACAAGCTCGTCGTCGTGATGATTCTAGAGGAATTGTTAGTGCTGGATTTAAAGTTCAACTTGAACAATCAAATTTAGTTAATAGTCAGTGGCAAATTGTCTCAGTTTGTTTTTCATTTGGTGGAATGGCATCAAAAACAATTCAAGCAACAAATACTCAACAACAATTAATTGGACTATCTTGGACAAAAGAAACAATTAATCAAACATGCGAATTACTTCTTAAAGAAATGCCACTTGATGAATTAAGTTCAGGTGGTCAACCTAAATATAGGTGTTCATCATTTCTTAATAATATTATTATTACTAGCGAGAACCCATGCGTACCGCACGGCCGGTTTCTCCTTTAACGTATGACTGCAGATGTTTAAATTTTCATCCGATAACAGACATACAGATACGCGATATTATGTTTATAGATCAAAGCTTTACGGTCTCATACTCTTACACCCCTGGGCAAAAGTCTTTCCCTCTCTTTTTTCGGCAAGGCTTCACTATTATAAGGCCAAAACATAGTGTTGTTCGGGCCATATAATAGCGAACCCGAATAATCCCCAAACCGGCCCGAATAACATCATATTTTGTCCTTATAATAGCAGAGAAAACCTTGCCGAAAAAAAGAAATGTTGGGAAAGATTTTTGCCCGGAGGGGGGGAAGGGGTATATCGCACATATTTTTATAGTCCATGTAGCCTTTTGTTCTTATAGCCTTATATCTCTTGCATTTCTTGTAGTCTTATGCCTTTATTCTCTTGCGCTCTTCATGACCTAGGAGTACCCTATAGGACGGCCCTTGAGGATCCATGGATGCCCTCATATAATATCCCTTGAGGATCTATGAATATCTCCATATAATAGTCCTCAAGGGCCTATGGGTATCTCCATAGGATATCCCTTGAAGAACTATGGGTACCTTCATATAATAGCCCTCAAGGACCTATGGGTACTTCTATATGATAGCCTTTGAAGATCTATGTGTACCTTCATAGGATGGTCCATGAGAACCTATGGGTACCTGCATAGGATAACCTATGAGGACCAATGGTACCTCCATATAATAGCCTTGCCGCCTTCCCATTCTAATCTTATATGACCATTAATCCTTGACCTTTGGCCCGGCACAGACACACAGACACACACTGAACATTATATATATAGATTGTTTTTTTTTATCAATTTATTTAGACGAACATTAGTTCAATCATTTCTTTTTAAATTTTATTCATATGTATGTTATGAATTACGTCAACCAATAATAGATTCAAGTGTTCTTTCGTCGTATCATCGACCAATATCTCATGGACAACAAACAATACCTGAACGACCTCAATCACAGAAAGTTGTTGGAAGTTCATTGCCACATCGATCAGCTTATTTACATACAACTGGAGAAGCTATTTATGTTGATGATATGCCATCTTTAATCAATACACTTCATGCTGCACTTGTGCTTAGTACAAAACCAAATGCTCGAATAAAACATATTGGTAAGAATTTTATGTTTACAGATCTAATTGAAATAATATAATGATAGATACTGAAACTGCTTCAAAAGTTCCTGGTTTTGTATCATTTGTCAATTATATTGATGTACCTGGTTCGAATAAGACAAATGGTGCATTGCCAGATGAAGAAGTATTTGTGTCGTCAATAGCACTTTGTATTGGTGCAATAATTGGTATTGTTGTTTGTGAAACAGAACATGCAGCTCAAATGGCTGCAAATCTTGTTAAAATAGATTATGAATTATTATCTCCAACGATTTTATCAATTGATGATGCTATTGATCATCAATCTTATTTTGGTGATGAAATATGTCTTCAAAAAGGTGATGTTGAAAAATCTTTTGTCAATGCTGAGCATATATTAGAAGATACAATTTATATCGGTGGTCAAGAACATTTTTATATGGAAACAAATTCTTGTATGGTTATTCCATCGAATGATGATAAAGAAATAACATTATATTTGGGAACTCAAAGTGCAAGTTCTATTCAAGAATTAACTGCATTAGTTCTTGGTCGAGATGTTAGTCATATAACATGTCATGTAAAACGGGTTGGTGGAGCATTTGGTGGAAAAGAATCAAGATCGTAAGTTAATTATATGTTCTTTCGAATATACTATACGATGTATAAAAATTTATTATATTGTAGTTTTCCTCAGTGTCTTGCTGTTGCAGTAGCTGCTGTTAAAGTAAATCGTCCTGTTCGTCTTAATCTTGAACGTCACATTGATATATCTATAACTGGACATCGTCATCCATTTAAAATAAAATATAAAGTAGGATTTACTAATGAAGGCCAATTTTTAGGACTTGATCTTCAAATGTGGAATAATGGTGGTTGTACATTGGATGCATCAAGATCTGTAATGGAACTTTCTATGCTTCATGTCGGTAATTCTTATCAATTTCCTAATATTAAAATTCGTGGTTATGCTTGTAAAACACATTTACCATCAAATACTGGTTTGTCATTAGAAAAAAAAAAAAATTTCAAATAAAAAATATAAATGATTTGTTTTAGCTTTTCGTGGTTACGGTGGACCACAAGCAATGTTTGCTAGTGAAACAATTGTTGAACATGTTGCTGCATATCTTAAACGTGATCCATTAACTATTCGTCGTCTTAATTTATTTAAAGAAGGCGATACAACTCATTATGGACAAGTTTTAGAATTATGGAATGTTCCTCGAATTTTAGATGAACTTAGTAAATCAAGTGATTTTATTCAAAGACAAAGAAATGTTACTGAATTTAATCGTCAGAATATTTATCGAAAACGTGGTATATCTATTATACCAGTTAAATTTGGTATTGGAGGTTTAGTTAAATTTTTTAATCAGGCAGGAGCTCTTGTTCATATCTACAAAGATGGTTCCGTATTACTCACTCATGCAGGTGTCGAGCTCGGACAAGGTTTGCATACAAAAATGATATCAATAGCTGCTGAAGTATTAGGTTGTAATATTGATAAGATACGAATTAGTGAAACAGCAACAGATAAAGTACCTAATATGAGTGTAACAGGTGGATCAGTTTCATCGGATCTTAATGGAATGGCTGTAAAACGTGCGTGTGAACAACTTCGTCAACGATTAGATACACTCATTATTGATAATAATGTTAACATTTCATGGGAAGATCTTGTAAAACAAGCTTATTTTAATCGTCTTGATTTATGTGCACATGGATTTTATGCAACACCAAATGTATTTGATTATGATTTCACTCAAAATCAAGCTGCTTACAATTACTTTACACAAGGTGCAGCAGTAACTGAAGTGGAATTAGATGTATTAACAGGAGATTGGCATCTTTTACGTGTTGATATTCTTATGGTATGTAAAATCTTATGTGATTATAACAATAAATCTGTTCTATTATAGGATGTTGGTACATCACTCAATCCCCAAATTGATATTGGTCAAATTGAAGGTGGCTTTATGCAAGGTATTGGTTTATATACTATGGAGGAACTTATATTGGGTGATTATATACAAAACAAATGGATTCAACGAGGAAAATTATTTACTTGTGGACCCGATACTTATAAAATTCCATCATTTAGTGATGTTCCAATCGATTTTCGGGTTTCACTTCTATCTGATTCATTGAATCCACGAGCTGTTTATTCATCGAAAGGTATTGGTGAACCACCACTCCTACTCGGTTGTTCAGTTTTCTTTGCTTTAAAACAAGCATGTATGGCCTATCGAGAACAGCAAGGTTTATTAGATTATTTTACACTTTATTCACCATCAACAGTCGAACGACTTCGTATGGCTTGTACTGATGAATTTACTCGTCGTACATGTCCTGATCAACATGGAACATTCCAGCCGAAAGGCTCTTTTTGACAATATTAACATTTCAGTTATTTATCAATGATAAATTTTCAATTAAATATGTCATTCTAAGAATAGGAAAATGAATGCAAAACAGCAGTTTCTAGTCTGCATAATACTATATCTTAATTAAAGAGAATTTTATAAAGTATGGCATTCATTAAGTAGTATCTGTTCTATATATAACTTATATCTTAGAGCCTTTCAAAAGTGATTGTTTGATAATAAGGGAAAGGAAATATTTTATTTGGTTCAATAAAACAGTTGTAACTGGTATTTCACAAAGAATGGATCTTCCAATACTTTAGCAACATATCTTTTAATTCTTATTTGTTCAGACTGATCCATTTTTACCTTCTACATCTAATTATATAAATTGTTAGAGAGAGTATCAAGCAAAACATTATATAATATTTTCATGTCTGTCTGTTGTTTGTTGCATATTAGTATATTATGTCAACAAAAAATAACTATATGATACTTTTGCATTTGAAGAAAAAATTAACTATGAAATAAAATTATTTATCCATGCTAGTCAAAATACAAACTAAAATTTAAACTATTAATTGTATGCAGTGGATGTTAACACTGAAAAACCACTGATGTAGTTTGACTTAGTCCACTGCAAGTTGTGCCATTTACGGTGTGGGTGGGTGGGTGTGAGTATTATCTTTGATACACCCACGCCCTCCATTTTAGTATATGAAAAGGAGAAATTCAAGCTAATCGTTGCTTAAATCATAAGATTTCATAACTTTTTATGCTTCTGAGTGTTCATAAGATTATCAATGTTAGCTTTTTATTGTGATGTTCGGAAAAATATTGATAACCAATAATTAATGTTGACTGAGATGGACTTATTTTATATTCTTTTAAAAATCATTAACATTCGACGACTTTGAGCCATTGTCTGTTTAAGACACTTCTATAGAATTTCTTTTTTTTTCTGATTTAACTCTTTATGGCATATTTGTTTGTCCAGCAACTACAACTACTTCGTGAATACCTTGTTTGCTAGTCTTGCTGTCATTATCATCTGGAACTATTTTTTTTTCTGTTCCTTTGTCCTCAGAAATCATATTAATTCTTCCTGTTTCATCGAATGAATAAACAAGAGAGTGTATATATTGATGTATATAAATTAAATGAATAATAAAAAATACGATAGAAAACTATAGGTAAAAAATTGATTAAGAAGCAAAAATATTCATTATAAGTTGTTTGTGGTGGGTAGAAAATAAAAGTCATTTGTATAAAATAGAAAGAATTAGAATAGCACACAAACATCAGTAGCTTTTAATACGGTTTTTATCTATTTATGGAATTGAAGACCTTCGAGATGAAAAGTGTTGATTAAAATAATAAATTATGCAGCATGAGAAAAAAGCAGAATTTTTCTGCTAAAAGCAGAAGAGGTGGCAACTCTGGTTATCTTGTATCTATATTTTCAAGATCTATTCACATTTCTGTACCTTGTATATTGGTCAAGATCTTACTTGCAAGATGTTCGACTAGGGTAATATATTAAGTCTTATCTAGGCTCAGGAATAGATTTTATTTATTGTTTGCGCAATTTGTGTAGATATATACATTGAGGTAAAAGTTTAGCAATGCATTTTTTCATATATAAATTTTAGTTGTATATATATAAAGAGATGAAGTCTCATCTAGATTTATGATTGAATTTCGTTTTGTTTCTGGAATTTGTGTAGATATTTAGGTTGCCCTAAAAGCTTAGTAATTGATTTAGTTTTTCGTTTTTATGATTTATAGATATATATATATATGCATATATACACTGCCGTATAACTTTAGGAATATATTTAGTTGCTTTTATATAAAAGTTATAGTTATACATATATAAATCAACCAGTCTTGTTTAGATTTAGAAATGGATTCAGTTTTTCGTTTTTGTGATTTATCTATTTAGATATTTATATGCATATCTAAACAGTCATGTAACTTAAGGAATAGATTTATTTTTTTATTTTTATAAGCTATGGTTGCATATATATGAATGCAGAGACTGTGGTGCAGATTTAGGACTAAATTTTGTTTTTTCCTTTTTACAATTTATATGGTTATTTATGTATGCATACATTCACTGTCATGTAAGTTTAGGAATAGTTTTAGTTTTTCTTTAAAGGGTGTTTCATAAGTCTCGAGGCTTGACAAAAATTAGTTCTTATGCAAGCAAAAAATAATCTTGAACCAAATGTTTTTATATGAGGTTTGAGTACTCGTGATGCTCTTTCAAATGATGTATTATTAAATGATATCTTCTCTTGCAATAATAAAAATATAAACATGAGAATACGATGATAAATTTTTCGAAATCGATCCATATGATACAGGGTGTATCAAAATGTTTGCAACATTTTTTTATTTCACACATACCTCGGAGTAGCAAAATGATAAAATCTCGAATTTTTTTAAAAAGATGCACCATGAAAAGCTCTACAAAAATGTATAAACAAATACTTACTGACTTGTTCTGATGGCGTACTTCATACTGAAAACGAACAACATGCATGATAGTGCTACTTCCCATCGTATTGAGTATAGTAAAAAAATATTTCGAGGACTTTTTTGTTTTGCAACTCAGGTCTTTTTTGCTCAGGTTTTGTAGAGCTTTTCATGGCGCATCTTTTAAAAGAAAAGTTAAGATTTTATCATTTAGCTACGCCGAAATATGTGCGAAATAGACTCTACATCATATCGCCCGATTTCGAAAACTTTATCATCACGTTCCCATGTTTAATTTTTTATTATTACAAGAGAAGTATATCATTTAATAATACACCATTTGAAATAGCGTCACGAGCACTTAAACCTCATATAAAAACATTTGGTTCAAGATCATTTTTGTTTGCATAAGAACTAATTTTTTTTCAAGCCTTGAGACTTGTGAAACACCGTGTACTTGTGAAGCATAGTTATACGTCTGGAAAAAAATTGTTCGAGTCTGTATTTCGAATATATGTCCACTATAAATACACATTTTAAAAAAAGTAATTACGTATTTCGAAAGCCCGTGGAGTTTTCCATCGCCCTATATAATTAGGTTTTAGTTGAGACCTATTCATTACAAAAATAAATTGAGTGAAACTAAAGCACCTTTATATCGGGATTCCCACAGATTTGATTTTGTCATTGTCATCAAACTTAGGATTTTAAATTTTTTATCACTATAATATTGTCTTTTTAAAAAAGTAACTATAGATTCTGATAGAGGTTGAAATTCTCTGTCACTCTAAATGTTTAATTAACTTTTTATGCTCATTTATAGAAAAGAAAACTCGAGGAAATTAAACACACCGTCAATCCACAAGTACAAAGAAACGTGCATTTTCCGTTGCATCTGGAGTTCTCTTTTTGAATTTATTATTACTATATGAAAAATATTTTTTAAAAGTAATCATAGATTCTGATAGAACTTAAAATTCTCTATCGTTCTGTGTATTTTGCAATTAGTTTGTATTTGTATGCCGAAAAATAATCCAAGTATTACGTCGACACACTCCTTTAATACCTCTAAAAAGTAGCTGTTTTTACCACCTCTCTCGTTTTTTGTTTCAAAAACACACAATGATAGAGAATTTCAAGCTCTATCAGAATATACGATTGCTTGTTCAAAAAGTTAGTCCTATACTAATAATAAAGTTGAAACGAAAAGAAACACAATCCTCAATTACCTTTCTTAATAATATCATTCAAAAATGAAAAAAAAAATTCGAAAAATTGCTCTACTCGTCTTGATTAAGATTCTTTTCTAAAGATCCCGTACTCCTAGGGGAATTTTCTTTGAAAAAAATTTTTTTCATGTTGAAGGATAATATTGTGAAAGGTAACAGAGGATTGTATGTCGATATCTACTAAGTATAATTTATCTCATATGAAGAAAGTTTTCGAGTACTTTCGAACTATGTTTTGGCACATTTCCTATATGAAAGGTGCATTTTTTGGTATTTTTCAATAAGCCTCTTACGACCGTTCTTTGAGAACTCCCGCTAATTTTTTGATAGCGTTGTACCCCAGAGTGAGTACTTCTAATATGTACATATCAATTTCGGAGAAAATCTATTTCTTGGAAGATAGAGCCTATCCTAAAAAAACAACATTTTTACTAAAAACCCTTTTTTCAGAGAAATCTTCTCACTAAAAAAAAACGTTATAAGTCGCAAAAATTTTTCGAGAAGATACAACTTTTAGCGCTCTATCTACAGTGAAAGTTTGAGATCTCTATCTAGTTTCAATCAAAAGTTATGAAGTACCAAACTTGTCAAAAATGTTCTTTTTTTCGCATATTGAGTGATTAATAAACTCTCAACGGCTCATTATTTAAAAACAAAACTTTTATGGTAGATAGGACTCACTCAAGCGTGTGTGTCTACAAAGTTTCAGTGGAATTAATGGAACCAGTTCTTAGATACGGCCGAAATAGGACCCCAGTTTTTGACTATGGTCGCTTATAGGGCTTTTTGTAAAAATACTCATAAAAAATCAAAGGGTCAATATTTTTTAAAATGATTTGCGTCCACGTTCCTAAAGTTCTTCTCTCTACAATATATCTTAAATTGAGCAAAATTTGACGAACATGATTGAGCAGCGTGGCTTCTGTGGAGTGGTTCATACGTGTATTTGTGGTATATGAGCTGGGAAAAACTGACCAGAAAATCTAAAGAATGACAACTATACCAGCTTGTAGCCCTATTCAAGAGCTATCGATTGGTATATAAAGAATCTCTGGAACTCGACTAGTTTAGTCCCAAATCAAGTAAAACTATCAGCTAGAATGATACTTTCAATAAAACTATCATTATATGGTCAATGAGGAGAGAAAAGAAAATTCTCTCCGATTCATTGAACAGATATGTTTTTTATACAAATCGACGCAGAATTTAATACTCTTTCGGATGAGATTATACAGAAAAGAAAATACTGATTATATGCATTTGATAACCGCAAAATATCTGGCATACAGGCATAGGAGAATATGATGGTAAAGTATGATCTATTATTTGGGGCCAATGTGACTCTTTAGAGTATCCAATCAGCGTGATATTATTACGAAGTAATTTAGCATTAAATTCTGCATCGATTCATATGTAAATTTCCCAAATCCAAAAATGCGCAGATTTCGCCTCTTATACCGTCCCGTCCTTTGCCTGAGGCGGACTACAGGCCAAATTACAGTAGAAAAAAAGCTGAGGGGAATAGGGGTCGAATTTCATTAAAACATAATTATTGGCGGATTGCATGTTGCTAGATGTAGTTGTGAGTGCTGATTCCGAATATCATATGCATTTGAGACAGAAGTAAATTTTTATTGTTTATAGTGTGGAAATATCCATGCATTTTTGGACTTTTCTGCTCTGATCCGAGTATTTTCCGTATTTAGGCATGTTCCACATTTTTTCCTTATTTTCGTAGCCATATTCGGTTAGAGCATGAAAAACTGCATCGATCCATATATGTCATCCATGGGTTAGAGATTTGGTTACTCTTTAATATTAGGGCAAAAATCCGAAAAACCTGCTCTTTTGCAAGTTTTTTGAGTATTTCATCCCAAAACTGTTCAACGTCGAATTTTTGAACCGCTTTTTTCTACGATTCTGATTGAAAAAGTAACTCTGAACGGGACTGATTGCTTTTCAGGTGTGGCAGCGATGTAGTTAGGTCGCTTGACGACGACAACCAAAACAGTCCTCTATTAGCATCATACTATAAAATAGATTTTTCTCGAGAAAGATTTCATTGTCTACGAACTTTAAGGTGATATATGGAAGCAGCATAAAAATCTGCATCTAATGATATATTATTTGATAGAATTAGAAAGAAAAACGTTTTTGATGGTACTGCCCCCCCCCCCCCAGGTGCTAAAGGACAAGTGAAAATAAAAGTTCGTTTTTCGACAGAAAAAAATACATCATTCTACTCAGTATTTCACGCTGTTTCAGAATATGTAACTCTTTTTGACAAATATCGTGAACAAAAAATTAGCATTACCGCCACTTGTCCTTTATGGCGTATCAATTAGAAGTACATGAGTCTGACTTGTAGGTTGAGATGAAATGCACAAAGGGTGTAGTAGTAGGTGTTGTTTTTCTGTTCACTTACACCCACACCCACACATCAAGATCAAAATTCGTTCAAACCTTCATCTCCATGTGCACACTCACATCCACACACGGTTCTGGAGTTATCAGTAAAAGAATCTCTTATAAATGTTTTTCGCAAAACAGAAAGATCTAAACAAACTCCTAGTGAGTACTAAGAACATCTGTATTGTATTTCGCATTTTAATCCCACAGAGATTGGGCTAACAGATTTTTAGCGATATCAATTGTTAAGTAAAGGTACTTGAAGTGTATGCTAATGAATTTACGCTAAAAAATAATTTGGGTGGGTGTGGGTGTGGGTGTGGGTGTGGGTGTGGGTGTGGGTGTGGGTGTGGGTGTGGGTGTGGGTGTGGGTGTGAGCGAATCGGGAACCACATCCACCACACACCCACCCACACCCACCCCACCCACACCCCACACCCACACCCACCCACAATTGTTTACGACATGAATAATTATTGTAAGAACCTTATCTCTACACTATTTTATCATATGGCTCATCACACACCCCTTATTTCTCATGTAAGCAGGAAATATATTTATTGTGTATATTAAAATTCCACTGAACCTTCTCCCAAGTTTTAGTTATAATTGATGTGGCGAATTGCATTCATATTAATCTATTAAAAGACATCTATCAATATTTACGAGTTCTTTAAGAACACGGGCTTATCTAAATACAAGATATTCTGATGACGTTGGTTCTCTCGTGATAATTATCTTCACTGGATTCAACATTACTATTGAAAAGCATAGAATTAAAGTGAAATGTAACGAAATTTTTTAAAGTTGTATGTTTTGTTGAAAAATGATAAAATTCTCACATCTCTTTCAGTCAGATAAATGTGCTTTTTTTAAACTATTCATCAGATAGATAATCAAGGTGACAACTTGATAACAAAAATAGAATAACAGAAGCATTGCAATGTTGAAAGTATAAGCATTTTAGATATGATAAAAATATCAGTGTGTATTTTATTTCTAAGCTACATCTCTGCCGAGATTAATTCTAATAAATTTAAAATTTTGATTACAGTGCGTGAGTCAAAATCATTTATCAATGATATCGATGGTTTATCTTCGAATCACACACTTATTTATCTGCTTTATACCTATACTGAACCATATCAATTGGTAAAACTAAATACATCAACATTACATCCACTATCTAGTGCAATATTACCATTTCATTATAATGATACAACATTTCGACAAGATTTTTTTCTTTTAACATTTTCCGACGATCAAATATTTGTAGGCTATGTGCAAGATGAAGGAAAACCAGCAGCTGCAACATGGCTGCAAGCAATTGATTTGCGATCGATGACAATCAATGAGAATTTGAAGCAAGATTTTTCATTCAAACAATTTAGTGGTTTCCCATTGTTTCAAGCAATATCAAATCAACAAAAAATTATTGTTAATCTCTGGCAATGGTCTGTATTTTTACCTGTCAAAATGTTCTAACTAAAATAGGGAATTAAAACGAAACGAAATGTTTTTATTTTTATGAGGACAAAGAAGAAAATTAGAAATGACTGAGAGGATTGTTGACCTTAAAAATGTAAGTAACCAATGTGTTCAATGGAAAAATTATACTTTTTGAGACGACAAAAGTTAGGATTAGAAAAACTTTATTCAACTAGAACTAATTTTTATGAAACCAAAATGCCTTTGATTATCAAATAAGTTTGGAATTTGTTCCTAGGGATTTGACTACAAAAAATATTACGAAACCTGAAATCATTAATGGTCAACTACCTTCTGCAGATCCATACGACAGTTGGCTTCTTCCTAGTATTTCTTCTCTAGATGAAACTCCTCAATTACTTCTGATGTACGATGAAAATATCCTCTATACGCTTAATGTTAGTTGTTCATCACAGTGGATAATCAATACACAACTATCGAATATTCAGTTAGAATTTTTGTCAAAATCATTATCCTTTCATATGGATGTTGTCAATGCAAGTACAATTGCTGTAGCTGATGATCAAATGAATGTTTTCGTTTATAATCTTTATGGGCAACAATTGTCTACAACATTGAATTTACGACAAATGTTTCCTGATTATCCACGCATGTCAGAACAGATAGCAAGTAATTTACGAGCTAATGATCATTATGTCTATGTGACGAGTTCAACAAATGTTGAACCATTTGATCAACAATATTTATTTCGTATTCGTCTCAATGATACGATGAAAGATGTTGATTTACTTCCATTCGCAGATGAAAACTATGGTTTAACAGAATTAATCACATTTACAGACACTGTTTATTCATTTGAGCGATTGTATGAAGCTGAAGATTATTTCAATATATACAAAATTGGCACACCTCATAGAAATATCTATTAATAGACATAATAACATTCTAAGAATATAATTACTATTGGATTGTCTATTTTCAATCTTATGTAGTTTGCTTTTCTACTATTGATGAATACAACTATACACAATTGTAAATAATACGAATGTAATAGTAAAAACTGTAAATATTCTTTATTATTGATGAGGATTATATGTCTTGACATTCAAACTTCAATAAAGAGCATAGATTTGGAATCTTGAACGTAAGAACAGAAAAGTTTATATATTTGTGAAAAATGTGTGAATCTATCTCAAGATGAACATTCTATTTCACAAAATCGTGGTGTCTGATTAAATGAAGAACTTTTTAAAAATTGACATTCCGTGTGCAATAAACATTCATATGCACAATAACATGCAGCGTTTATACAATCACCAATCGATGCATTCAAAGAACAATATGTTAAAAATCATAAATAGAAATATATTACAAACAAAAAATAAATCGTTCTATATTTTTACCTCCAACAAACGCATCACCACATCCAATAGTATCGACAATTTTTGGTGGTTGTTTAACAGCGAATGTTTTCAGACTGTGATCTATATAATGACCAAGATAGAAAATCAGTTTATGATTTAGTTTATTCTTCTTACTCGATACTAGAATAATTGGATCAAATGCACGAGTTACTATCATATATGTGTTGCTATTCTTTATCAACAATTTTTGTAATTCTCTAGCGATTAATAATATATCATGATTTGTCTAAATTAGATTTTTTTCTCTTCTATCGTTGAAAACAAATAGAGTAGATATGGCATACATACACTATTTTTCAGGTGACTTTGAGAGAAACATTTTACTTCCTTTGAACAAATAAAAACGAACGAATTTCATTGTTCAATCTATCTTATCCATCAGGATAAAAAAAAAATTTATTCTAATCTTTTCATTCCATTCTACCTGTTCATTTCCAAATAGAAAATCAACAAAAGGTAATAACTGCATAAAAAGATCACCAAATTTCTGACAAATATATTCAGCTGATAAATTCAGAGCAAATATTTTCTTTGTCTTTGCAGAATATTCAGCTAATTTGAATAGTGATTCGGGACAAGTTCGAAGAAAATATCCCTAAAAAAGTATTTCATTGATATTATTATTTCTAATATTCAAACGAATCTAACCGGTACGTAGAATATTTTTGCTTGCTCAACATACGACCAATTTTCTGACTTATTCAAATAATCGATTGTAAATTTACTTGCTGCACCAAGATCTGTTATCATCGATCTAAGTGAAGAAAAGAAAGCGAGAAATTTGATAAAAAAAACTTGTTAGTATTAACCTTGCCCCGTCTGTTATTAAGATGAGACATGTTGCCGTAGATAAATCAGAACTTTTCTGATATAAAAAATTCACCATTTGTTTCTCTAATATTATACCAGCCTCATCTTTTCCAATAGAGCCGATGCAAACCGTAAGATTAGCTTGCTAAAGTAACCACTAAATAAATGTAAAAAAGTACTTCAATTTATCAAAGAATCATTCTTACATTGATCGTTTTTAATGTATTTTGTGTTGAACCACCGGCAGAATAATTCAAAGCATAATTTCCATTAGTAAAAATTTCTTTTAATCTATATGAAAATAAGAAAAACATACGGATGATGATTGAATATAGAAACATGACTAGACTTGCATTTCATCGTATTTAGATACGTTTTGTGCTAAAACAACATTGTTCGCCTGTAAATTATATCTTGAAAATAAAAGCAGAGCTTTCTTAAATCTATATATATATATGTACATCAAATTCATATAATTATTTACCGTTTTAAAAATTCATATGAGACTTGTGTGCTTATGTCCAACATTGGGTCACCAAGTCCAAAAAATGTACCATCACTATTCAATTCGAATATCGAGTAGAGTAGTAGGAACGATTTATTTTCCTCTAAAACTGACCTTAGTTGCGTATTGTCTATTGAAACCATACGAAAAGTAAAAGTCAAAATAACTTGGTCACATAAAACCATACTTTATAGTTTGTTTTGATATTTTTCTTTCTTATCTTTGTTTTGCTCTTTGCATTTCTTCTATGATTTTCACATAAGAAGAAAAGAACTCAAGGTAAATAGCATGCTGTACACAGGAAAACTTTTTGTCTATATAGTTGTAAGCATAATATTTGATTTGATTGAGAAGAACAAGAAAAAATATAAAGCACACTAATTGTTGCATAACACAAATATGATGTTAACAAACCATTTTTATATGACTATCTCAATCAATCAAAACACATACGTACAATACTCTTCATGATAAGTTTCTTCCCTTGAAACTACGTGCACGGGTGTAGGTGGGTGTGCGGTTGGGTATGACTGTGGGTGTAGATGATTCTTTTTTTAATTGCATCCGCACCGACACCCTTATTTCATCATTTTTATTATCAACTGTTCGTACATTTTGATTCTAGATTAATATGTCGATGTATAAACTCAATTATTCGAATTGAACAAAAAGCACTGCTTTATTAGTTATAATTCATTTCGAAATAAACCAAGCGATGAATAGGTCACTTATCAGAACCGTAGTAAAAACTATTAATTTATTTACGAATTCATGTGATATTTTTGACGCTGTTGGTAAGTTTCTTTTGTTCATAGCGTTTTACTATATATATATATATATGATTTGTGATCATGAAGATAATCCGAATTTTCCAGATCATTCTACTTAAATTGCATATGATAAAGATAAAGTTAATCAAAGATTAGACAATATATTTCAAAGAATATTTAAAGAAAAATATTTCTCGATTCGAAGAATCAAAAACAACGATTAGTTTTTATTTAAATATATTTTTTAAATGGTGTGATGTTGGTCAATCAGTTTCACCTCATTCACCTTATTGGTAGGTACAACACTAATATTCATTTCACAACTTATTTAGTTCAACTAGAATCATATTATTTGACAGATCAAAATTGATAAGAGGCTCTTTCAACAACGGACTAATTTAATCAGTACAAGCGAAATTGTTTTCAATTTATATTGGTCAAATAGGATGTGAAGATCCTCAACAAAATCATTCTAATCTTTATTTAAATGTTTCCAAAAATCTTTCTCTTCATGTTCGACCAATTTTTTCCAGAGAAGTTTTGATCAAGAATCAATTATTGGTATTAATTTAAAAAAACCTCTATTAACATAAACAAGATCACTTTTTCCAAGAAGATTTCAAACAGAAATTCTCGCTTACACACTTTGAACTTTATCTTCATCTTCACGTTTTCAATTTCACCCGTTTTTTTTTTCAGTCTTTGTTTTTACTTATCTCAATTTTATTACGAAGAAAACAAAAGACGATTTTCCCTAATTAAATTCATTATTTGACTATTTATGTATGAAAAAAATGTGACCAAGATCAACAATTCTTACAAAGAAACAAAGAGAGACAATATTTTGTTTTCTAACCAGAGAATCATTCGAATTGGCATCCACCCTTTCAATTCATCTTTGAACGACAATTATCTGTCGAGGGTGTGGGTGGGAGTGAGCGTAGAGTAGTTTCTTCTTCTTACACTCACATTCACACCAACACCCCACCCATACCCATACCCCTTATACTATTTCGTAGTTTTCGTTGTGAATCAGTGGCTATCAATATTGATGTTGATGTACCTATATACATCGAACTTAATTCATCGCCACAAATGACGAGTCTATTTGAGAAAATAATTATTTTGCAAAATCTTGAGCCGATTGAAATTCCTCATATTGAATGGAATCAAATGGATATTAATCATTTATCAAGAATTCAATTGATTGCTAATTATCTTCAATCAATCTATCATAACAAAATCAACCAAGTAGATATCAATGAACAAACATTGACAAAAATTGATACAGTTACTTGTTCAAAACTCTTACGAAAACAATTTATCGGCGAAAAAGATGATAAACAAATCAGTTGGACACAACTAAAAATTTTAGTGACAATATATCATTATTTATTTACGGGTTTCTCCAAATCTGGCTATTTTCTTTCTGAATTTACAAAAGATTCATCACTTTGTATGGATATTCTTCAACATTTACTCAACTCATCTGATCAATTTACATCTTTGTCAGTTGAATCTGTACGGAAAAAATCAACGTTCAAAAAATAATACTAATCTTAAACTGGACGAAGCAATTATTCGATGGGATAAATTACAACCATTTACAGTTATATTTACTGATTCGAACGATCCACTATTTGTCTATAAGAAAACAGATGATGTATCACGTTCACTAACTGATACAGTCACAATACCAGTTCGAAAAAGTTTTTTGGATAGATTTTCATTTTTGAATAGATCCAACGTTGAAGAAAAAAAAACAAAAACAACAAGAATTACTATTTCCAGATCGTAACAAGCTCAAGCATTCGGATTTCTTCATAAGACTTATATCATTATCAACAAAATATTTTATCAAATCAGTGTGTAACATTTGTTTTAAGCAGCATGAATACGAAGATGAAACATGTATAAATTGTGGAACCAAAAGTAAATTACTTCAACCTAAAAAAGAAAAAGAATTCAAGGGTTCCGATATCAAGGAATTTCAGTTGAAGATTGCAAATATATTCGAAAAAGAGTATGTATGGACAGCAGATAATTATATTAAAGCACTTTTAATATATTTACGGGTGCAATGTCGTCTTTCTGTTATACATATCGGTGAAACAGGTAATATTGAGTATCTATGCAATCTTCCATTATCCTAAGAAACTCACACTCTTTGCTTCTCTTGCATCTTTATTCATGAAACAAATGAACATTATGTTTTGATAGAGAATCATCGATGTCCTATATAGTTGTATCAAAATCGGAAATATCCACATTTTTATATAAATACAGCTGACTGACTATGACTATGAAAAAATAGAGTAATAAACTTGTATGTGTATGTCATTGCTTTAGTCTACATTATTACATCAGTACCATAAATAAAATGATCAGAATACTAGATATATCGTCGCTATTGATCGAAGTAAATCAGTTTCTATGTATTAGTCAAGATTGACAATGGATATATCCATAGAAGAGTAATGTTTGATAATTTATTGACCGCAGAATGATTCACATTGAACCTTCTTCTAGCAAGTAACGATCTAAGATTTGTTACTTATCCACATCTCGAATCATTGTTTTTTCGAAAAGTAGCAGTCTCTCTTAAGGTCTTAGCAATTCTTGTTATCTCATAATGAAAATAATTATGTGGCATAAGTCTGTTTTTTTTGTCAATAGGATGTGGTAAAACAGCATTGATTCAGTTTTTATGCGAAAAGATTCTTGATGATGAATTGGTTATTTTTCGTATACATGCTGGTATTACAAACGAAACAATCGTCGAGAAAATGTTCGAGTTTCAAATGAAAGCAAATCAATGTTTAAATAACAACAACAAACGTTTGTGGGTATTCTTCGATGAATTCAATACTACTTCTTCTATTGGTCTATTCAAGGAGATTATTTGTGCACGAACACTTCTCGGAGAACCACTACCAGACAACATGATATTCTTAGGAGCATGTAATCCACAACGATGGACAAAAACAAAAAATATTCTTCATGATAATATTGGAATCAAAAAAAGATCCTTATGACATTCAACGGTTGAATGCTCGTTTAGGTAGAGAATCTTTAATATATCATGTAGTTCCAATTCCTGAAACAATACTTGAGTATATTTGGAATTATGGATTTCTCGATGGAGAAACTGAAATTGTCTATATTCGAACAATGTTAAACAAATGTAATGAACTGGCAAATGACACATCATGGTACGATTATACAGTATCATTAGTTGCGATATCGCAGCAATTTTTTCATGTAAATGAAGACACAAGTAGTGTATCTCTACGTGATGTTGCACGTTTCTGTCGATTTTATAATTGGCTTCTAAACTTGCCTCGCGAATTCATGTATGAAAATGTTAGAACTTCGAATCAAGATTTTACTCAACAAACAACTCTCGTTGCTCTTCTTCTGACGTATTATCTTCGTCTTAGTTCTTCCGAAATACGAGAGTTCTATTTGAATTATATTACAGTGGTGCTCAAGAACAAATTTCCAGATCATTCCACCATTTTTACATATACGAGATAGACGTCTTTTTTTCTCTATTCTCGTGTCTTCTTCTACGTGCTTTTCAAGGACATATACGTTCACGTGGCACGTGCTACGTACACGTGCATCTTTGTAATCTTAAAAATCATATTACCTGTAATTAACTAAGGTGCAAAAGATACATACCGAAATAAAATGAACACGGAGATAGGTAACAACCACCAATTGAATCAGAATCCGAGAAATTCAACAAACAAAGGAACTGCACAACGTCAAATGCACTTCTACAATAACAGTCGTATATCTCAAAACAATATACGAGGCTCACCATCAACGTTCAAAAGGCATCTAACTAATTATAGTACACTGGGTGATGATGCTAGATATTCAAACAATAAAAGACAACGACAAAATAGTCAGGACAATGCTGAAGAAATTTATGATAATGATGAACGTATTGGCGAATGGATTGACCCGAATGTTCATCATGGTTTTACGTTTAATGATAAGCAAGCCGATAATGATCGAAGTCAAACCCTTATTTCCAAACAAGCGATCAATTATGCAACCGATTGTCACTACCCACCGATCAAAATTATATGTACACCTAAAATTCAAATTCAAAATCAAAATGGTTCCCATTTTGTTCAAACACTTATCAAACACATTGAAAAGAAATTTAAAAACGAAAACCCCACATGCAACAAACTGTTAGCTTTTGAAGCATGGTGGGTAAATGCAGAAGGCGATATGATGATATTAACCAAATGTATGGAAATATTTATTCACTTATGTATATTATCGAATTATCCACATGAAATTAATACTATAAAAATCGAACCACAACTGCCAAAATATCTACCACCGCCATTCTCCGTATTGATTAAATTTGTTCATAACCACATCTCAATTGATGAAATTCGACAGGAGGTAAAAGGTAAATATAGTTCACAATATTCATGTAATGAATTAATAGGAACCAAAACAAATCGAACAAGACACGTTCGAATCGACTTTACTGAACGAAACGACTATAACAGCATACTCAAAAATGGACAAATATCATTTTTGAGTCAACTCTACACAGTGAATGAATTTCTCGAAGCACCAAAATTACTCATTTGTTCCAAATGTAACACGCCCGGACATATGAAAAGACAATGCCAGCTAAATTATGATCGATGCCGTCGCTGCGGAGGCGACCGAATAACGGGCGATCATAATGAATGTACAATCAAATGTCATCATTGTAGTGGTGAACATGTATCCACAGATTATAAATGCCCAACTCTAGCTGACTATAGATGCGAACTTGTTAAAGAACTAAAACGTCATCCTGAACATTTACCGGAACATGTACAACTATTTATACCAGCTCAATGTCGTGATAGAAATGACCGATCTCATATCATTGCAAACTATCAAAAAAATGAACAAAAAAGTAGATCTACATTTAATTCAACATTTAATATGAATTCCCACGTATGGCCTCAACCTATTCCTAGTTCACACACAACTAATAATGAAACGATAATAACGCAAAACATTAATGAAGAAATTAAATTGATGCGAGAAGACTTCAACAAAGAATTAAACAAGCTGAATGCAAAATACGAAAAACAATTAAAGGATTCTCAAGATCGTTGGTACATAGTTGCTCAACAAATTAAAACACAGAACGAAATGATCAATAGCATGTCGGCCACAACTCTATCGTGTATTTTCCCAATAGGAATAGACCTACTTAGAACCACATCGGAAGCTATAAAATCACTTCACAACAACGAACAAAACGAAGAAACGAAAATCAAACTTAATGAATCAGCTGAAAAACTACATTTACAGATGAATAAACTGTCTGAACACTTTCATATCCTACAACAGTATCAAGAAAAGATGTCCTTATTAATGAAGAAACAAACAACATCTTTAATGGAAGCAATGAAATCACCATCACATGATAATGAATAGTCAAATAACAAGATATACTGATCCATACATTGAAGATAACAACATCGACAATTATCATGGTACTGTAAAAGAAAAAAAGATTTTTAAAGAAATATGTAATGAATGGAACTGTAGAATGTCCGATATTGATATATGTAAACAGTGGAAGAAAGAGAGACCAACAACTGAATATCAAGCTTTAAATATACTTCTTTTTAATATCCAATGTCTAGGTACCCATATTGCTGACCTCGACCTTTTAATATCAACATATACCCCCCAAATCTGTATTTTAACAGGTGCTGGTTCAAGAATAAAAAATCCTCCACGGATACCTTTTTATAATTGGATTTGTCAAGAAGGTACTAACGCTTTTGGTGGCGTTGCCATTATTATTCATAATTCACTGAAAACTAAAATAATCTCACGAGAAACAAATTTTATTCTAATCGAATTAACGATTCTATCCGAAACAGTACTAATTGGCGCTATTTACGTCCCACCAGGTAATAGTATTCCATTTAACTTACTTGAAACGCATGTATCCAAGAACTTCTACATATTCGGCGATTATAACGCCAAACATTCGCAATGGATGTGTAACACAAACAACACCAGTGGAAACGAATTGAAATGTTGGCTTGATGAGAAAGGCTATCAACTAATTGCACCGACTAAACCAACGTCAAAAAGATCAGATGCCGTTATTGACTTTGCGATTACGAATGATGCCACAAGATGGAGATCTGAAACAATAATAGAAGGAACATCTGATCATTATCCAGTGTACTTTGAAGCACCATTCTCAATATCCGAAAAGGGATACTTCAAGAAGACAAATTGGAACATGTACCACTATTTCTTACAAAATATATGCGCGTATCTGAATGTGGTGGTTTACAATATGGATGCTGAGGAATTTTTCTATCTATTTTCGCTCCTACTTTCTTCATTATCCGACCGTGTAAGTGAATACCTACCGGTTGCAAAATACAGATCTCCGTGGCCTCCATACCTAGTTGCACTAGCAAAGAAACAAAACAAAATGCGTAAAAAATATCGAAAAACGAGAGTGTTAAAAGATCTACAAGAATATCTATATTGGAAAAACTTATACACAGACGAAAGGTGCCTATACCAACAAAAACAAGCAGAAAATCAACTAGCTTGGATCTCTCAAGGAAATAATATCTGGAAATTTGTATATCCAGTCTTTCATCCATTTTCACCCTCATTAAGTGGACTTACTACCCATCAAGGTATAATAAAAAATCCGCAAACGATTGTCGATACTCTAGCTGATCATTACGAAAAACACTTCGAATCTCCAACTTCTGATCCTGGAATATTGGCACACGCAGAGGCAATGGAAGCGTACACAAACATCTCAAAACTACCAAGTATTCCCCTGGAACAAATTTCAATAGAAGAAGTTCATTCATCCTGGAAACGTACACAGAATAAAAAGTCAACTGATAGTGATGGAATATCGGCCTTTCATTTGAAACAAATACCCGAGGACTTGTTGAAGATCATAACAGTTGGATTTAATAAACTCGCTGAAGCAGGTACTTATTTAAAGCGCAGTAAACACGCGAAGGTTATATGCATTTCAAAAGAAGGGATGTATCCCACAGTCAACAAGTTGAGACCCATCTCTCTCATATCAAATATTGGCAAGTTATTCGAAAAAATTATTCATAAACGATTGGTGAAATGGTGCAAAGAAAAAGGAATTTACATAGACGAACAGTCCGGTTTTACCCCAGGGAGAAGACTCCAAACAAGAATCCTGACACTGGCTGAAGATCTTCGTTTAACCGTGGCAGCCTGTAATCGTCCCGCTCTAGTCATTTTTGTCGATTTTTTAAGTGCATTCGATCGAATCTGGCATCCTATGTTGATTAAAAACCTTATTAAACTTGATTGCCCACTTCCAATAATAAGATGGATTTACTCATGGCTGCAAGAACGTACCATGTCGGTTCATCATGGAAATACCGTATCTCGCCCTATAAAACTTTTTGTAGGAACTCCGCAAGGGTCAGTACTAGCGGCCACGTTATTTCTTCTGCATCTGCACTACCTTCCTCAATACTTTATGAACATGTCAACTCATCTCTTTGCTGATGATCTGGCCATCACCATCATGGGGTCAATTGAAAAGAAATTTTCTCAGAATATTATGGAGCTTGAAGTTCAGGCCAAAATCGCAATGGATATTCTATCAAAGTATTCCTATGACTATATCTTACCTGTGAATATCGATAAAACCAACGCACTTTTGGTTCATAGTGTAGTGGCACCACAGTATCCAGCGATCATATATAGAAGCACTAAAATAAAATTCGTTAAAAAATTCAAATACTTGGGTGTTCAAATCACAACTAAACTAGGTTGGGGAGATTATATTGCACATCGAATTAGACGTATAAGAAACATTTATAATGCACTACGTATTCTCTTTTATCGAATCCCGCTATCACATGTAAAATTACGCAGGATTCTCTTTTTTGCGTTCGTGCTTCCACACTTCTCTTGGCTATATTCATGCTGGTTCTTTTACACCGAACGTCAACAACAATGTATAGAACACGTGTACTGCGCAGGGTTGAGAATAATATATAATCTACATAAATGGGATGATATTACAGTGTACATAATAAGTAAAGAATTGACACTGCGTGACTATCTCTACGATTATTGGCAAAAGTTCAATGCTCACCTCGATCAAGCTCATGAAGCAACACAATTTCAACAAACATTTACAGCATTTCTAATTGCAAAAACACCCGATAAATGCTGGTACCAGCCGATGGGTCTAAGAAAAAATAATAAATTTCTAAAAAGACTAACTGAAAGAGCAAAACATACCAAAATTGATCTAGCTGATTTTTTCACTATACAGAAAGAGCAATATGGGTTCTTTAAACGATCATGCACTCTGACCCACATGTTTACATATAAATACTATATCTTACCACCCTAAAACGTTTTAAATGTTCACATTTTCGACTTGTATTTTTATTTAAAGGATAGTCCTCCATATTTACGTCCATTGTCCCTCTACTCGTTTATCATGTATCCCCATTCGACACATCAACCCTTTCTCTTATTTTTTTTTTCTTATTCTTTCTGTTCTTCTCTTATATTACGTTAGTTAATGTTAGTTCATATTATTTACGTTATCACATTTTATTTTATTGTATTTTACTCTATTTTATTGTTAGATTATGCTTACATCAGTATGTCTACCTTTGTCAACCCTAAATGGGACAATAAAGATTCATATGAAAAAAAAAAAAAAAAAGAACAAATTTCCAGATGTGAGTCATATACCAATGTTTTTAACTAGATTACTACAAAAACAGCAAATGAATTTTATGGCCAAGATCAAATTACCGCTTGGTACAGCCATTAATCGAGCAGTTATCGACAATATTTTTGTTCTTTTTGCATGTATTTTGAACCGAATACCAGTTATTCTATGTGGTAAACCTGGCTCAAGTAAAACATTGGCTGTCAACATTATTCTAAGTAATTTGAAAGGAAAAAGATCCAATCAAAAACTCTTTCACACATTGCCAGAATTGATTCCTAGTTCATATCAAGGTTCACAAAACTGTACTTCAGAAAATGTTATAAAACTATTTGAACGTGCTGAAAAATACTTAGACATTGAGAATAATACTGATATTTTACCGGTGATTGTCTTTGATGAAATTGGTCTTGCTGAACTATCTCCACATAATCCATGGAAAGTGCTTCACAGTAAATTGGAAACAGAAACATGTAGATATGGCTTTGTTGGTATATCGAATTGGTGTCTCGATGCAGCTAAAATGAAGTGTGCATTATATTTATCTTGTGAAGATCCAAATGTAGATGATTTACGATTAACAGCAGAAACTATAGCATCTTCACTACTTGCAAATTCTAATCGAATTATGCCAATTAATAATTCAATAGTCAAAAATCTTGCTGCTGCCTATTTTGATTTATATAAACATATTAATGAACAACCTAAATATAAAAATTATTTTGGTCTACGTGACTTTTATTCTTTGATCAAAGGAGTTGTAAATGATTTAGTACATGCATCAACAGAACAAGAATCGTATACGTGTGTTCGACGACAATTAGCAATTCATTTTTATGGAATTTTTGATGGTTCACAATTTTTATGGAAAAAGTTTTGTAAATATGCTCATCAAGAGTATTTAATCGAACACGAACAACGACCAACATTTAATCAAATGATTGATCGATCTCTTTCATTGCATAATAGTCGATATTTAATGTTAATCGGAGAAAATGAAAACATATTCAATTATGTCGAATGATATATCAATGCTACACAGAAACCAATACAAATATTAATTGGTAGTTCTCTAACAGATGATTTAATTGCTGGTACAACTTATAGTGAGCAATAAAATGTGATCCACCTTTTCTCAATCGTTTCGAAAAACATATTATTGATGTCATTTAATGGTTGCATCAAATCTCTTAGAATGTATTGATAAATTATTATGATACAATTCAAATAACAATTTCCTACAAAAGAAGCATCTTTTTGTTGATTTTAATCCAGATTATATTACTAATTTAGTCATGAATGCATTTGATTATTTAAAAATTTCTCAATATGATAATGACAATCAAAAAGATGTAGTTACTCAATATTGTAAACAGAAATTAATTCGTACAAGTTCATTTGATTTTCCTCTTCATTTATCATGTAAAATTAATGATGATGACAATATTCGAAACTTAATAGAACAATATTATAATATACATAAGAATCTTTCGTTTTCAGATTTAATTAATCAAGCATTAAATCAATCAATAATTTCAAATCAAATTGTTTATACTTATACACAAATATATGACAAAATTGAATATATAAACAATAATAATCTTGTCGTTGAAGTTAAACCAGGTCATTTTAAGAGTGACTTTGAATTAAGAAGAGTAATTAAGGAACATTATCGATCAATTAATACTCGTCTATTACTTATACGTGTTGATTATCATGAAGAACATAAACATGTTCTCTTTCTCAAACATCTCGTAGCAAACGAGAGAATACCAACTAGTGATAATGGAGTATAGTTAGTATGTCACTTACAACGTAATATCATACATGAAATCAAGGATGATATTTTGTTTAATGGATGGTTTTCAGTCATGATTGATAATCTTAATAAACATAAACTTATAACATGGGATGTTTTGAGTAATCTTTCATATCGTAATCTTCTACTTCATGCAGATTTTTCTTTATTACATAATGCTTTCAACGAACTTATTACTCGATCTTTCATAAGAGCTCGATATACAGTTGCATATAAAGATAAAGAAATTTTAATCAATGATCGATATGATTCTATAATTAAATTATTGACTCAATCGAGTATTTATGCAGAATCTCTTCAATTGATAGTTAAAAATCGTCTCTTAGAATTGATACGAACAGTTGATATAAATTCTACGCGTTTTGGAATTATTAATTGGCGTTATGATTTACTCGCTAATGGAACAATCATTGGTTCATGTCGTTCAATTGATGATGCTTTGAGATTGACAATATTACTTTATTATTGTAATTATTTCTTAATGCCCTTGGTTGATATTGAAAAATCTTCACTAATAGATTCATATATGTTTCTTATGTCGAACACAAATGCAAATATATATGAAAATTTAAAATGTATTTTGTTTGATTGTTTGAAATTAACATTTGAATCTATGGAACAAACAATCATATGTATGAATACAATTGAAATTTTACTCATTTTTGATCTTCGTCTACCTCGTTCAAAATTCGAACGTGAGAGTATTCATCAAATAAATCAAATGATTAAAAAACCCGACGAAAATATTGATGGTAATCTTGCTGATGATAAATTGTTATGTTTTACTATGAAAAAACTGCGAAGTACCAGTGTCTATGGAAAGAATATTGAAACTATACTTAATAATTTCGAATTATTTGAGCATTATTATCATGATCAACTTGCAATTCTATTAGATGAAGTAAGAATTGATCATTTAACTATTTCATTTGCACAACGTTTATTAACATCAAATCCAATGTTAACTATCGAAGATAAACTTAAACATCTTCTTCTGCATCAGGACGAATTAATTGAATTATTACATATATTCGAAATCGGTATGGAACTTATTGGCGAAGATAAATGGAATTTTGATGAGCAATTGTTTATTGCAGACAAAACGCAAACGGCAACAATTAATAATTCGAGTAATCTCTATATTCTTGTTCAAATAGAACAAGAGTTTTATCAAGTTCCACCACAACAATCATTAAATAATATACCTTATGAATGTAATGGTGATCCATTTATAGAAACATGTTTGATGAACCTAATCAAATTACTCGTTTCTTCATCAACTATTCAATGTATTGATAATATTGCACAGTTATCAACTACATACAGTCTTATTGTACAAGGTGTATTCGTTCTCGATCATTACTTAATTAATAATCTAGAAAAATTGCGTTCATTAGATAGTCTTGTTCGCTGTATTATGAATCTACTTCCTCATGATCGGGCTTTAATCGTTTTTAAAAATATTTGTCTCAATAATCAGAGTAATATTGTTTTCAACGGTAATTTTTTGACATGCGAAAGTATTCATACATTTACAGATAATTTGGGTGAAATAATTAAAAATGAAAATAAAAATTCAATTAATCTATTGAATTGTCGACCAATGCTCAAACTTGAAATGAAATTTTTTAAAAATTGGTTAATTGATCATGGTGAAGAATATTGTACTGTTCTTGAATCAATTTGTAAATCTAATAAGAATTTATGGTTTTATTCAGCTAAAATATTCAAATATATTGATCAAAAGCTTGATTTAATGTCAATAATAAATACTAGCCTGACAGAATTATCATTAATACCTGAACTTGAATGTGTTGATCAATATTTTCGTCAATCAAATGATAAAACACAACAAATTGAACGTATTTTGATCAATCGCATACATGTATACCTTAGAAGTTGTATTACTGATGAACACATGATTGAAAAGTACTTAATTGATAATTATGATTACTTTCAAGAGAATATTCATAATGATTAATCTAATTATGGATTTTCAATGATTATTTCGATTGCTTGGTTCAAAGTTTATACTGAAATGTATGCATTTTCTTTGAGTAAAGATAATCATAGTGATATAATGGAATATATTGATAAAGTTCTGACAACGGATGAGTCTAAATTTTGTTTGACTTTAAAAATATATATTATTAAACAATTATGTCAAATTTATCATATTGATCTTGCAGAATTATATGAAATTTTTATCAATCGTAATTGTTATTGGATTAGAACGACTTTTCACGATATGATCACCAACAAGGACGAAAATTTAAGCAAAATATTACTCTTCCAACATCTCTATTTGAAGCTTCTTTAGAATACAGAGATATCAAAGGTACACTTGACAATTGTAGAGAAGTGAATAAACTGAAAAAATTAATTGGCAAATGTTCAGATAACCTGCATTCATCGTATTGTTTTATCATGGTTCTCGTACATTACTATGTGAATTGCTATAAAATGAACATACAAAATAAGGACTTAGGACACCTTTTCGGCGAACTACATACGGAATTGAATGTGTCTTTGGAGCCTATTGGTTTTAAACTGTGTCATTGTTTGTGTAAAAATTTTCGTGATAATTCTTACTTTCAATTAAATAGAACAATGACTGCAGACCAGTTGTATCGGCGTCTACTTGCACTCAGTATCATTGCTGTGTTTCTGTCTTCAAAAGCTTTTAAGAAGTCAACTTATCCCAGCAATATTTTCTTTAATGAGAAACTCAAAATGCCAAGAAATTATGCAGAACATTTGAAGAATTCCATATGTTTATCAGGTCTCATATCAAATGATCCGATTGAAAGTGGACAACCGAATAATAAATCACGGCTTGGTTATCCTAGTATGAAATCTGTGCAAGAGAGTAGTTTGAATGAGAAACCTGATCATCTTAATTTATCTATCTCATTTCGTTTTATACATATGATGATTCATGCTGTTTTACTTGCCTTACATGAACTTGATTTGTTAGATGATTCAGATTTACCTAATCGTAACTATTGTTGAGAACATTTTGAAAATGATTACGAATTTCTATGTCAATTATCAACTGAACCTAATCAATGTCATGTGTGGTTATTTAAACTGATCAATCATCTGATCGATAGTAATTTTTTACAAGAGGGTTGTCTGAATAGTAATGAAAAAGTCATTGAATTTGAACAACGCATTGAAAATAAATTAATTATTCCTCATATTGATTCGATAACTGAAGAAATTCGAAAGTATAAATTAAAATATGAACAATTTCTTCGACAAAAAGATGATCAACCAACATTGAATGATTTAATCGATGAACTCTTTGAAGATGAAAGTCAATATCCACTATTGAACTTTTTCAATATAACTAATATTCATATAGATAATCCAATGGATGCATTTCGTGCTAAACTTCGAATAATACCAAATGCTAATAAAACATATCCAATAACGATATTTTTACTTCAACGATATGATGATTATGCAAATATTCAATATCTCTATCCGATTGTTATGTTTACAAATTATCTAATTCAAAAATTGAATTATCGAATAACACGTAAAAATGCAACTAAAAAAACAATTAGTGAAATATTATTCAATGATTCAAATAAAGAGGAAACAGTAAAATTATATGAAGATTTTATTCAAGCATGGTATAAACTTAACTTTAAAGAAGTTCATATAGGCTCTCAGACTATAACATTTGAACATAAGTATTCATTGGAAGATTTTGCAAAAAGAACAGAAATTTCTAAATTATTATTAAACTCATCAGGAGATAATCATAGTCTTTTGTTAATTGCTTGTTTAAAAACTATTGCAGAATTACAAAATGATATTGTTAAATATTTTCATGAAATTATGAATTCGAATTCAATGAATAAAAAACTTCAACCATATGTTGTATCACTACAAGCTGTTCAACAGAAACATCTTCTTTGTTTTGATAAAGATTTTATTAGTAGAAAATTGATTGATGATGGATCTATTATAAACTATGATTATGGAAAAGGTAAAGATATTATTTATGATTATGAAGAAATTGAATTTATGCTTCGTGACAAAATTTGTTGTCTGCCATTAATTGATACAGAAAGATTACATTTTCTAAATTATCAATTTGAACTCTACGATGAAAATACATCATTGATTACTGATGTTCGAAGACGTATCGAACAAAAACTATTGACCGATAAAGAACGAATTGAATTGCAAGATTTAATAAAAAAAAAATCAAATGATGATATACTTCACTATCTTGGTTCACTTGATTATATCTTTACATATTTGCGTCATTTTGATTATAAAAATGTACCAATATTAACAATTAAAAAATTTGTCGAACAATATATTCATTCAAAAATGTGTCTTAGTGATAATTTACTTGGAGATCCAATGCTTTCAATAATTGAACTTAAATATATAATTGACTTGTACGAATTAATTGAAGAGATTGTATTTGAAAAAATTCTACGAAATAATATAAAAAAAGATTTACCTGAAACATTATTAGTTTCAGACAATAAACAAAATGATCTCATCAATCAATTTATTGACATGACATCAGGAAAAATAACAATAAATGCTCGTCTGAAAAATTTAGACTGTTGGATTAATATGCTCAAAAGACTTATTGTACGTATTTCCATGAACACTAATTTAAGTTTTGATGTACCTTTACAGCAATATGTAAATCGTTGTGATGTATGGACTGTTGATGTGACTATCAATGATATTGAATCCTTTAAAATTAGTGATGATATTTTATTACGACATACATTTATCATTTTGAAAGGATTAGAAGCAAGACAAAATGGTCCACCAGTCGAACGACCAAAAAATGATGCTAGTCGACAGCCTTGCGTTGAACGACCAATACTAACGACACCTGTATGGCTTGCTAATAACATAACTAGGAGAAGCTCGCCTGAAGTGATTGGAGACAATAAAAAAAATAACAGAAAGTTACGCGTTTAATCAAATGAATGTTTTCTTTATTTATTTTTAAGTAATTTACTGTGTGGGTGATTTTTAATCATTTCAATGAAACGCATTGCGATTCTTAAATTTTTTGTCAAGAAAAAAAAGAAAATCATATAATAAAGAACAAACGAAAGCATTGAAAGTATAATTAATTATTGTCAATCATGGCTTGTAATATGATGAATACAAATGCAGTTCATAAATTAAGTGTAAGCGACAGCTCACAGAAGAGCATGTACTCTGTTTTTTCTGAATAGTTTTATAACCATAAGGGTGTGGATGTTAAATCTTTCTCTTCTTAATTTTTTCCTATTTATATCTCAAACTGTGTCGATTGATCAACTATTAGTAAATTTTGCATGGCAAATTTTGAGATCAATATACTCGTCAAATAAAGATTTAATAATATTCATGACAACTATTATCTAACCTTTGCTATTCTGATCATGTTACAAAAGTCACTGCCAAGTTAGTATGCTTAAATAAATGATAAACGGTGTTCGAGCTAAAGACTTCAATCCCCCTCTTCTTCATTTCTACGGGCCGTGACCAACGCTAGTTAAATACCATCAGGTGTTACACCACAGTGACTATGTTGTCTCAATGTACACACAAGATAATGTATGCAAATCTTAGTACTACCAGCCATGGCATGATCCTGAGCAAATCACAAACGACTTTTTATCTCGTATGACTTATACGATAGCATTCTGACTATGTAATGACAAGCATATGCTCTTTCAGTTTGTTAGTCTGTATGGGAAGCTTAAGAATTCTGAATCAAATCCTCTTTCTATCCAAAGCTAAAGCTAGTTATACTTGTAGAAAAGATACGGAGCTATTGCATCTGTTGTTACGCAACACTCCATATCACAAGGTAACTCTACGATACAAGTGCTCTGCTTTCTTCCAAAGTTCAGCACAACCTATGAAAGATACCTTAGCAAGCTCCATAGCATTGCAGACTATATATCACTAACATCTCGTTATAATACATTTTAACTGTCTATTGCATTTCTGAACGATTAAATGAAACAATTTCGCTACGTTTAGTAATAGTTATTTCACCGTGTTTCATACTTTAATCTTGCAGGGACTGCGTTAAAAATTTTCTTTAATTCTGACAGATTTTTGGAATATCTACTAAAGAAAACAAACATATTTGATTTTAATCTGCAAATATTTTCTTTTTGTACTTTTTTGATAATTTTTCGTCACGTCTATGTTTATGTGGACTTTATGATCGATGTACTAGTGATTCATTGAATGATGAACTTGATGAACGTTTTCTAAATAAAAAATCAAATCGAGTAGTGTTTTGTTCGAAAATACAAAATACCACAAAGATAGAAAAAAATACAAAACAAAAAAGATTTATTGTTTAATGTTCATCGACGTTGAATTAACATTTTGAATGCGTAATCGAATGTGTCACACACAAACACCTATTATCATATTTCATTGATTTGAATCTCATAAGCAAATTCAATAAAAACTTGATTCAATGTAAAGACGTTTTTAGCTGATCTATGAAAGATAAAGAAAAATAGTTGAAGATTTAGATCAATAAAATAAAGCGAGAGAACTTCTTGATCTATCTTTTGATATCGATGCTTAACAATATTTTAGATTTAATATTTCCAGTGTAAAAGAAACCATAGGTTCGTCGATGAAAACTTTCAAATAGATGTCTAGAAGAAGTATGTTTTAGAATTTCGAAACAGTTAATTTCTATACTTCAAGAAGTTTCGATCGTCATATAAAACCCTATCAAGAACAATAATTGGGAATTTTAGGAAAAATTCAACATTTTAGCAAAGACTACAGGATTCTATCGTGATCACGAACTGGAACTCACTGTCAAATATGAGAAATGCTTAGATAATAAGAACAAGTCTCTAAATATACACATATTGCCACTTTCAGAAAATTACCAGAGATTTACCGGAATTACGAAAACTTCCTTACAATTTGTATGGACATATCTTATCATGAGAAGAAAATTTTAGCCCTTGAAAACTATAGAAGTTTCTAAAAACTCTCACTGTTTTGGGAGAAGGGTTTGATATTTGTTATAGATTTTTTTCTGTATCTATGTATATAAGGATTAGAGAAATTATAATTATGCTTCATGTGTGTTAGTAAGTTTCAGAAATTTGTAGCAATTTGCCGTATTTTTTTCAACAAAAATGTTTTATACTTTTGTAGAACTTGTTATTTATTCTCGTATTTAGTGAAAATCTCTTTTACAAGGTGTAGCCTTTTCTGAATTTTGATGATTTGCTACGGAAAGTGCTTTTTTTCAGAAATTTGTACACTGTTGGATGAGCATTTACATAAATATGTTCATTCATCAACTCTTATTCTCAAAGTATTCTTTTGTTATTCCTTTTTGAATCTCCAAATAATAGAATTTTAACTTAAAGTGTCTCATTTAATAATGATTTAATAAAAGAACCAAGATTTATTTTTAGCCGTAATAGCCGATGAATAAGTTTGCCAATCATATATAACTCTTGGATGAGGTTATTGAAAATAATAAGATTACTTTTGTTTAATGAGTAATTGAACATTGATCGTAGGCTAAAGCAAGAATGGGACCCACTTTTTATTGGAAATATTTAGCGCAAACACAAATACATGTGAAACACGCAAAAAATCAATATTTTTCATTTTAAAAAATGTTGAAAAAAAAACGTTCATAAGAAAAAAAACAAAAAAAAATAGTGAAAAATTAAAGAAAATTGCTTACCGAGTCGGCATTATGTAATAATTAATCAATGATGTAATCTTTAAGTATTAACAATAAGAGTTTGGAATAAGTGTCTTGTTTCGTAATATTCACTGTAGATAAATGAGTGACGACCAAGTGAGACTCTTCTCGCGAAAGAAGATGAGTAAACATGAGTCAATACTTAGTCAATCATTATTATGATGAACAGAAAGCGCAAGCGTACAAACAATAAAACCGATCACAAAATAATAACGTGATATTATCAAATAATCGAATTCTAAATTAGGAACGAAAGGTGCACTGAACCTAAGATATAAGTAGCTATTTTCTGTTCTACCGTCGATCAAATAAAAATAACCGTTCTTCTTTTATTTATAAAAATAGTAAGAACTCTATCGTCAGAACTTCTTTTTTGAAACTACTGGGCAGAAGCGCATTGTGACAGCATTATCCTCGCTTATAAAGGGGATGAAATTCTGTTTTCTATTTTATTCTTGAATAAATAATTTATGTTTTAAAGTTATACGATCGAGCTCAATTAAAGCGAATGCTGTTTACACCTTGAAAATACACACGGCATAAGGTCGAATCAAATCCGATATATCGTTATCGGTATCTTCTGGTCCTTTGCTACTAAGCCAGTAAATTCCAATTTCCGTTTCTTCTTTGGTAATCACTTTCAGATACTTTGGATTAATTCGATTCTGAAAGAGAACCCGATATTTCTGTCCTTCATGTTCAAATTCGTTTGCATACAGCAGGGCCACTTCCAATTCTGGCGTGGAATATATGCCTCTGCCCAATTTGAATCGATCAGCTTTGCAAAGCTTGAAACCCTCTTCGACGATGCTCATTGCGTTGTGTTTTCCTGTCCCATGATAGGACACTGGTCATTCTTCCGAGCCGATGCCGTTCATTCCTAGCCATCGATCATCATAACCATAGTTTCCTGCGACATTAAGTGCAACTCGCTTGCAACCATAAGGTCGCTCATATGGATAATTGCCTCGAAAGAATTTTTCACCTGTATCAACAAGATCGGTGAAGTCAAAATCGAGGTGAGGTGCGAGTGAACTGGTGTCTAGTGGAAGTGGGCCCGACAGCACAATTTTAACGTTTAGTGGACCATTCAAATTGGCAAGACAGTTGTAAATGATTTCTTCATTATCAAGTTCTTGATCACCTCTGAGAATGGCTTGACATTCAGTATCAATGCCTTCTTGATCATGAATAATTATTTTTAACTCACGAATGGAAATATCGACGATAATATCGAGCTCGAATGTTTTGCCAGTAGGAAGTATGATATGCACTTGTCGATGAGCTGGTTGACATACTTCTATCTCTATTATTTGACCAGCTTCAATGTCATATGAAGAACATGTGAGTTCTTTCTGAGTGAGTATACGATGTCCAACTGAAGAGAACAAGCTTACACGATAAGGAAGAACAGCAAGTTCCTTTGAAATATAGTTGGTCGCTTGCTCAATAGTGACTGATGGCAGCAGTGAAGTTGCATGAGTTTCGTTCGAGGATGCAAGCAATTTCCAAAACAAAGTATCACTGATTATTGAAAGTGTGGCAATGACTTCGTTGACTATCAGGGTATCACCTTTGATGTTAGTCTTCGTCTCCAGATTTTGAGCTTCAATAGCATAGCCTAAATTTTGCTCAATCATCTTCTTCAAATTCAAATCTGTTGGCAGTTTATCAAGTAAATAGACGTGTCGATTTTGATTTCGATTCGGAAGATCGATAGCAATAATGACAGCATTATCTCTGTTATCAGCCACATGTGCTTCTACGAATGGTTCTGGATTGGAAAATGTTCTTTGATTGTTTGATTGAAATTCGTTATGTATGAAAAGTACTTGGTTGTTTTGTGGAATATGAAGTTATTCTTGAATGAGACGTTTGATATCACCGACAGAATGATGATCAGTAATTGAAAGAATGGCATTACTTGGTTGTAGTGCCACTGTATACTCTTGCTGAATAGTGATGATACAACGGTTGCAAATGATCGTCGCATAATCAGACACAAATTTATCATTTTCCAATGTGCATCCATTGCATATAAGTCTTAGTCGGTCGATGCTACATGTAATATGTAGATGTTGTTGGATATGTCTCTTAACTTCACTAATAGGCCATGGGGATATTAACATCATGTCAACTGGTGTATTATTGAGTGTGTACACTTTAATATGAATTGGCGGATACAGAGAAAGAGTATATCCATAGAAAGGAGTATCATCTGCCAGAATGACATAATCATGCTCCACCAAACATTGTTTTTTCACAGGAATTCTCATTATCTGTTCGATCTTTGTTTTTAGTTCAGGAATTGATGAAGGTGGATTCTCAATTTTCACTTTTTTGCCTAACATTGTTCGAATTATGACGGTTTGTGGCCGTTTAACTTCAAGTTGAAGTATGTCCTCTTTTTGAACTTTATATTCACTGAGTGTTCGTCCGTCATCTAGCTGTCTGCCAGAAAAAATCAATCGTTGTTGATCGGGTGGAATACCTTCTTTGTCTTGAATTTTTGCTTTTACGTTTTCGATGGTATCACTCGGTTCCACTTCCAGTGTTATAATTTTTCCCATCGTCGTCATGGCAAAGATCTGCATGCCTCCACGTAGGCGAAGAGCAAGGTGTATAGCAGATTCTTGCCCGATGTGGTAATCGTGTAGTGTTCGTTGGTCTTCCAGCTGTTTGCCAGAAAAAATCAATCGCTGTTGATCGGGTGGAATACCTTCTTTGTCTTGAATTTTTGCTTTTACATTTTCGATGGTGTCATTCGAATTCACTTTCAGCGTTATTGTTTTTCCAGTCAAAGTGAGGATAAAGATTTCTCTGTCATAGAAAGAAAAGTAGAGATACAGAGTTGACTGCGGCTGTATGCCGTAATCATTTAGTGTTCGTCCGTCTTGAAGCTCTCTACTCTCAAAAAGTAATATCTGTTCATCTTATGGTATTCCTTCTGTTTCTTGAATTTTGTCTTTTACATTTTTAATGGTGTCAGTTGCACTCATTTTCAATGTTATTTTTGTTTGATTGTGAATCACATAGAGTAGGAGTGCTGTTTCTTGAATAGTAGGAACAACCCAAGGGTAGATTTTCAGAACGTCGATAGACACCGATGACGAAGAGGAGGTTTTTGATGACGTTAGACCAAGTAGCGATGAGAAAGCCGCTGTGACCAAACTATTGTTCGATGCCACAGCCATTTCTACAAAGATTGAAACATGATTTAATGAATATGATGAATATTTAAGCTTAAAATTCAATAATTAATTAACTAAGATAAAAAACAAGCGATGGATAGTTGATTCGATAAAAGCACGCCATTGAGCTATAAATGAGCTATTATACTCAATGCAAGTCATCTGAATTTTCTCTGGCCTTGACAATTTATATGTGGTGAACCGAAAGAATTTCAAGTCAGTCATACATAGTTGCATGATGTATTACTAACCACATGCTCACTAATCACAATCTTAATGATTTTAGCTCCGTATGTTAACAAGAACATGTTACAAGATTGATAATGATGAAACGAGAAGATAATTTTTGAAGATGTCTTTGACAAGAGCAGTCGCCTTCTTACGCGATATTAAACATTTCGAAATGAACCCTAAATTGAAACAAATTCCTGAAATTTATTTTAATCCTCAAAGTTCAAACAATAATATCGAATGTATACTCATACACTTTGGGTGTAAGTGCGAATGTGAGTGCGCATGCCGATGATCGAGGGAATGAAACCTACACTCATATCTCTTTCGCACATCCTTTGACATTATATAGAATGGATGTAACAAAAGAAATTCACTTGATCGCTGCCCGGCAAACATCTATCACTTGATTGGATGAATAGAAGTGAGTCTTGGGGATCATTTAATCTATATCACAATTATTTCTAATCGGTATTCCGATCATATATTATACCCAAGCAGACAAACATTTTCAAAAACCCGTTTAAATGCATGAAAAAGTATCTTAAAATTATAAAAAGTGGCTGTTTTTTGCTCACAATCGCGGTTCCCGACTGTGAGCGAAAAACACCCATTTTTTGTCCTTTTTGTGCGTTTACACGCGTTTTCAGCCAAAACACGATTGTAAAAGTGTATAAAGGCATAAAAAGAGCATGAAAAGCAGTCGTCCTTTTCTTTTTCGTGAACTGTTATTATAATCGTGATTGCGATTCACGAGTATGAAAAAAACGACTACTTTTCGTGTTCTTTTTATGCGTTTATACGCTATTACAATCGTGTTTTGGCTGAAAATGCGTGTAAACGCACAAAAAGGACAAAAAATGGGTGTTTTTCGCTCACAGTCGGGAACCACGATTGTGAGTAAAAAACGTCCACTTTTTCTATTTTTAGGACACTTTTTCATACGTTTAAACGCGTTTTTGAAAATGTTTGTCTGCTTGGGTAGTCCTGTATATGACGCTTGAAATCTTTCTAGCCCTAAAAGCACTTTCAATAAGTTACTTATCAAAATTAAGTAATCAAAATTCGGGATACCGAACAAATTTCAGTAATGGTGTCTTCCAACTTCGTCGAGCTTTATCTACGTAAGATTGCCATGTTTTTTTGTTGAATGATAACGTTTTCATTTCTGCATCATGGCAAATTTTTTCGCTCGGTTTCAGTCGTATATTGCCTTCTCTTTTTCGTTTTTCTTTTCGAATTTTTTTAGCAGTAGGCACTTGTTGGCGAAGGATTGCACATGGCAACATCAAACTATTCAAGGTAAAATGCACGATAAAAGACTATAGACTAGAAAAGAATGAATATTTATAAAAAGCAACTGAAATCATGAATAGTATGGATGTGGAGTGTAGGTTTGTATCAAATGGAGAGAAGAACCAGATTCGCACCCCTACCCTCAAGGTATATCTCGTCTATAACCTTCACATGCAATTTATATCAGACTGTTAATATTGGCAACCAATGAGAAAGTAAAAGGCTGTTCGACACAACACGAATATTCACATATAACAACAAAATATGAAGGAAATACAATATAAGCAATAGAATAGATATTAAATTGTAACCGACATCGTGTCTAATTTTGCTTTTAAAAACATTAATAATCAAAATATAACTACGAGTTGCCTCTGCAGATCAAATATAACTTCGAAGTCACAATAAAACTTTGTTTCCTTTTGTCCTATTAGAATTGATCAAGGATATTTTCTTCAATGTGCTGATGCCTGATAAAAGACTTATCATTTGTTGAGATGATGGCGTTTGCAAGTGTCTATATTTTTATACAAACAATTCAACACTCTGTTTTAATGTCTGGTAGTTCTATAGTGTTCTGATCATTACTCCAGGAGACTAAATATCAGGCAGTAGATTTGACGAAATCAAAACTTTTATCAACACCAATAGGGAAAATCCTATATGAAATCTTAAATTTTCAAAAACTCTTAATTGGAGGCCAGCAATCATTGATTCGAGATAAAGTTGTTTGTTTCTGTTTCATGCTTTGTTCACCCAAGCAAGCAAAAATTTAGTGAAGGACGCCCAACATGACTAGTTTAAAATGTCGACACTACCAGTCAGGTCTAGTCTGAAATATCTAGCGTACCCTTTAAGACTGACCGTCTTCATGAGGAATATCCTGCAACCTAATAATACCTAGTTCGTTTGTCAGTTCAATCCATTCAGACTAGTCAGCGGAACAGAAAAGAAAGAGAGAAAAGATGAATTTGAGCATCCTACCCGACAATATTCAAGGCCTGACGGACGTTCTGACGGCAAACTACGATCTAACCACAGACTGTCGTCAGTGTGGGGCATCTAAATAACAAAGTGACGCTTGTTAATTCAATATATAATCAAAGCTAAACGAAGAAAAATGCTGTGACTAGTCTGAATCGTCTTCTATGGTGGTTATGACTAGTTCGTTTATGAGAGGGTACTTTCAATGCTAGTCTAGTCTAGTCTAAACTTGTTAAGCAACCCTTTTGTTTGGTGTTGAATTATTAGAACTACTTATTTCGACTACCCGTATTAGAATAGAAAGAACTACCCAAGTTGAAAAAGCACGATTGTAAACGGCCAGCAGAGAGACCAAGTGAGGGGTCAATGGACAATTGCCCATTGAAAATTTATTTTTTCAGAATTGTTTCTTTATTTTTAAATTAGATGGTAAATGCGTTTTCTTTTCTTTCGTTTGAATCATACATGAACTCTTTCCTGCTCTTTCTGTGCGAAGAATTAAGAAAAGAATCGCTTCTAGTATTTTATAACCAGAGTCGCCAGGTGGACAACTTAAAAATCAGAAATTCTTATTTTCAAAATTAGAAAAAAATCAGAATCGTTTCTCCACAATCGGAAAGAGTAACTTTCTGCAAACCAAGGGTTGTCATATTGACATACTTACGCAAGATGTTTCACTTTTTTTGTTCATCGACTTATGCTTAATTTCCAAAAGTATTTCATAGTAAAGATAGACAACAGAAATATTATATAGCTTAGAATAAAAGATCATGTACTGTCAGCTAAGGAGATTGATCATAGTCGGATCAAATAAATGCTCTCACCCACCGTCAGACCAACTAGTTAAAAATATGAACTGCCAGGAGCGTACACAGACCGAGATATTCAAGTTTTAAGAAATTTACAGTTTGTTATGTGTCCACACTACGAAATTTCAT